ACTGTCTTTTGTTCACGAACCTGGCTAAGTGCACTGCTGACCTCTTTTCAATAGGAGCCAGATTAGCGTGCAGCGGTGCTGTGTGGCTCATCGCTGCGGTGGTGGAGCGCTTTTGTCTCTGGTGGTAATCTGCTTGCTCTCAATGCCCCAAACCCTGGTTTACGGTTTCAAAAGAAGACTGGATTATCACCACTTTTGAGAGTGAAAAATGTCGGTAATTCTTAGCAGCCTGGTCTTTTGTTCGGAGTATGGTTACAGGGCCCTGTTTCCTTTGTCCAAGTTCGGAGACCCCGGCCACGCATATAAACCATATGTCTCCGATTCCGGAGTCCCCGGCAGGAAGTGGTTAACATTATGTAGAAGCAGTCTAAATAAAGTTCTGCAGTCCAGGGTAGGGATGCACTTTGGTATGTTGTTGAGGTACATGTAGTACTGTTGGATCCTCAGCTGATGAGTTAATTCCCTCAATTGCCTCGCAATAACACAGAACAAAAAACAGTCTTGACATCATTGCAACAGAATTAAACACAAAATAGAGAATCACCGATGCGTAACAAAATTTCTGTAAAAATGATTACAAAAACTAAAATGTAAACACAATTTCAAAGTGACCTTTGTTCTTTTTCAAATTTCCAACAACTGTTGGGTTTTAAGACAAAAATAAAGCAGACGAGCTGGAGAATATACTAGACATACTATACTTTACAGTGAATTTGTCTTGCAAAGTTTAGCTAGAAACAAAACTACGGGGCTGGCATTTTTGTCCACATGGCCTGCATAGCAATACCCCTTTGCATTTTTTCACAATTTTTGTTCACATACTGTACATGTAGGCTAAAATCAAGAAGTTCCAACTTGCAATTATTTATCATGTTTTATTTCTGATGGTTTAGTCAGCATTATTGCTTTTTTTAATAAATAGTAACAAATCCATATGACTGCCAATACTATAGTATCAAGAAGATAATTCATGTTTTATTTTCAAAGTGGAACTTCAACAAATATTGACACCAAATAAAAACCCACGTAAACGACACTTGTGCTTCCCGTGGAATAAGCACCATCGATACATGTATATCAATATCAGTATGGGTTTGATATTGATATTGCCGATATTAGTTATTTGGTACTATAGATACATTGAAAATATTGGGTTTTGGAGAACTGTCGAAATTTCAAAACATTGATATTGAAAAATATACCGAAAATATTGCTACGTAGGAAAGAACTTTATTAAAAAATACGAAAGTGCATCGTCACATTACGGTAATTTTTGATAAGCCATGGCTTATGTTGGTTCTCACGCTGAGTGAAAAGGTTCCTGTAGCTTATACTCTGGGCGGCTTATACGGCGACATTTGAAGAATAAATTCAGTCACCAATCTCAGTCTCACACTCAATTCGCGTACACTTTGCCTTGAAAATATTGCAAAATTTATCCTCCAAAACAAAGAATTACATGTATTTGCTAACCAAATGTGCGTAGACAAGCACCACGTGCTGATGATATCGCTATGCATGGCAGCTTGTATCCCATCCCATGGAGGCAATGTATGCAACACAGATGTAAGAACATGCCAACAAAATTAATTGGATCACACCATTACGGTGTAGGGATGTACCCTTAGAGCAATTTACTTGCAATTCACGCCTGTTATAATACCTTGAAAATAAAAATGAATAAAATTTGATATATTGATAATATTGATATAAAAAAAAATATCAGTATTGGCCAACATATGATATCGACAGTGCCTACCGTGGACGGTTTGAAGGCTAGTTAGCAGTTAGCACCAATGCATTAACAGTTAGCACCAATGCAAAGGCACCACATCCCCAATGAGAACTACATGTGCAAAAAAAATCCTATCTTTGATGCTTTCCAAGCTAAATAGCATGCATTTCAATGTAACAAACAGCGTTCCACGTAACTCTCACACCACATATTTCAACAACCATAACTAACAAGGAGGTAAAATGGAGGCCCCCATGATTGCCTGATTGTATTAGGTAACCCCCAAATGGATGGGTTCATTTTGCAGAGGCATGAACACCTTGGTTAATTTAAAAGGGTGTTTCGATGTAACAAAATTTTGAGTGACACCCTGCTGACTTTTTGTACAAATACCGAGTACTTTTGAAAATTAATAACAATTTGTTATTTTTGTTTATGTAATCAAACTGATAACAACACAAACAATAAATTATGTTTAATGTGTCGGTCTTTTTACGGCTGGAGGATAACTTACATCTCCTTGTTTGAACGTAACAATCTGCAAAATGTTTTGCCATCAAAGCTACCTCAAAGTTGATGTTTTCTGATCACAGCTGGTACTGTATATGAAAGATTTAGAAATCCCGAAAGTTGTTATTCAAGGAATAATTTTGAGCCTTTCTCAGTATAAAAACCATTTGAAAAATTAAAAAAGAACTGAAGCTGCATTTTACCTGAGAAAAAAAACCTTGATTTCATTGTAAATCATGTCGCACATTTTGTAAGGACAACAGCTCTTGATACTATCAATTTTCAGTAACTTTTTAACACATATTTATGTTCAATCCAGTCAAGCTTGGTCTCGTGTTAAAGCTTAGGTTTTCCTCTTTGAGATAAGCTAGTTGATTGAGCAGATACTCGCCAACGATTCTAAAGGCAGATTGCTTCCCAACTTGATGGAATGAGCCATCTCCACACTTCTGATCTTTGCCATTTTAAGAACTGTCTTTAGAAGCTTTGAACCTGAACTGTGACTCATTGTAAATGTTAATACATAAATTTGCTCACTGTCTGTCAATCAAGAAAGAAATACAGAATTGACTAGATTAGCTAACAAAAAGTCTTCCAATTTTCTGTGCCTGCGCACGTATAAGATCAAAGTTTTGCTTGAATATGGAAGTTTTCATTAGGTCAAAAGACACCATCAAGACAACTCCAGAAAACAAAGTTAATGCTTGCCTGCTTCACATTACCCTCTATAGTACATGTACATGTAGTTGTGGTCCCTTTGTATACAGTATATGCCATATCATGGACTCCAGTCCACCTTGTGATTTTTAAATTTAGTTCACAAGTAACTATCCGGAATCAGACTTTCAAAATGATTCCCAATTCTTGGTTTTGCTGCATTCATAGATGTCTTAATTTCTTGGTGGAAGTCCAGTTTAATAAATTTATTTTCCTTGAAAACAATTTGACATAGTTCTGTAGATGTTTTACAAATAATTGAATGCAACAGGTTGTTTTTGAGGTCAGTCTAAAAATGATTTCAGATCCACAGCCAAATCAGACATAAAAGTCAAGTTTTATTTGTTTACTATACCGTACTTCTTCACTGATAACTTAAAGTTTTGCTTATGTTCTCTCTTTCATTCTACAGTGTACCAACAAATACATGTAACTGCTGCATCCCAACTCGGCCTACTTCTCTTTTTTTATTATGTGGTCAGATATCTGAATTGACTCCACAGCTTTGACTTGACTCAACCACACACTGTGACTTTTCTGATCTACGTGTATGGTGACTTGGCTTAACTTGTCACTTAAAATGACTGAATGACTCACTGAAGTCATTTTTTCATTATGACACTTAAATGCAGTTACGGTCTTTCGTTGTTTGATTCACTAGGATGAGTGTGACAGTAAATCTAAAGTTGGCCTGGTTATTGGTACTCCACAAACATCTACTGTTCAGGTAAAGAAAGAACAAACCCAGACTGAGGCAGCACTCGCTCACCTGTATGCCAGTGTCCAAGATATGCCCCCTAGTGCCAAGAAGAGAAAGCTTATGAAACAGGTTTGTCCACTTTGCCTTGGCACTTTCAAAGATAAACCCATTTCCTATATCGAAGGATGATGATGTGATGATCCATAGAAACACGTCAAAGATATGAACTACTAAAGGAAAAAAAGATCTACAGACTAAAACATCTACAATAAATCAAAGTGAGCATGACTGAAGAAAAAAGTGGAATTATGGGGAAAATGAATATTTTTATAAATGCTAAATAAACATGTAATAGGAGACTTTTGAGATGCTTGGTGGTGGCAAACATGCCCTTGTGATTTTATTACCCATGCAGCTTGCTCAGATCTCCATAAGAACACACCAGATACCTGAGTATGTTGCCATAACGTGATCAGTTATCTGATGTGCTGATCTCTCCAGTTGTACCTGTACACATATGCTGCATGCTGGGTAGTGGTTGACTTTTCTTGTCACGTGATAGTAGTTATTGTTAAGGGTTTGGTGGGGGTTGGTTTTGTATTTTCATATGCAAGCGTGGGCAAGGGTTAACACAGAGGACTTATTGTAAGATATGGGGGTGGGGATAGGGTGATTCATGTACATGTATTTTGAAGTGATGCGGGGAGATCCTAGGAGGGTATGAACCACTTGGTAGGTATTGTATAATTTTTGTCTTAGGTGATGCATCACATTTGCCTCTGGACAGCATGATTACCAGTGAAATTACAACCACACGTACACTTGCCCTATATGCATGCAAGCCTACACTTGTACAATGTGTGAGGTAGCTGCTCTCGAGGTCTGCATTTTTATCATGTAATGTGCATGTCCTTGAGGTGATGTGGGAACTCAGCACGACTATAAAGTGAACACAAATGGGGGATTACTGTGCAAGGTTGGGGTTGCAGTTTGGGTGTTTGGTTACATTGCGGAGATCTGAGCACAGCAGATGAATGAGGCAGTTACATCAGCTCTATACATGACCAGCCTTCCATTGTTTGCATTACATTGAGCATGGGCACCAAGTGCTTCAAAGTCTGCCATAGCAAAAAAAGAAAGTTATAGCACAATGTGTTTGACTGACATTCTCAAGTTTGTTCTTCTGGATTTTTTTTTACCCTAATTACCTTAATATCTGTTACCAAGGAATACCTCACCTCTGGTATCTTATTGGACATGTCCTCAATGTACAATGCATATTGAGGAAAATACAAGAGGTAGATTGGATATCCCTCCTTTATACATCTACCATTCTTTACGTGCACAGATAGTAACATAGTCTTTGATACATACAGAAAACAACCAGTTATGCAATGCACATGCTGCATATCCAACCATTGAAAAATTGCCTGGAAAAAATCATTAGAAAATAGGCTTTGGTTTGGAAAAAAATCCCTTTGTGTCTGTGCTCTTTACATAATTACCATCATAAATTTACACTTTAGTTTTGATAAGTTCCTTGTAGGAATATCAATTTCCTTTTCCCCATTAGTTTGCTAAAAACTGCAACATGCCAGGGACACCTACGCAAGTGAAAGAGGACATACTCTTAAGAAGTCAAGAGAGACACTGCAGACAGCGTAAGCATGTACGCAGTAGATCAGCAGGTGATGCCATTTGTGTAAGTATTGCAATAAAGCCTCAAGTGGATAAATGATACATCAGAGGAGTGGCATAAACAAGGGTGTCTGTTGAATGCTTATGTATGTATACCATAGTTCAGCAAGTATTATATATTTACTTAATTAATCAGTTAATGTATTGATTATTTAGTTAAATTTATCCATGCTTCCTGTCAGAAAGCGTGATTAAAGGACCCAGGAAATAGAAATATTTTTAAAAAGTTTACTAAAAACCCAAAGAAATTGCATCTTTGGGTTCAATTAACCTCGTTTGAAATTTTTGTTTTGCAATTTTAACCTGTGTTTTGATGCTTTTTTGGTTTTATGCTAATGCTATTTGCATATTCATGAGCAGAACTATGATGTCACTAAGGCACTAAATCTCAATTTGGCGCTGATTTGTGCACAGAATTTTTCTAGATTTTTTAACAATTGCAATGGCCGATTTTATTTTCTTTGGCAATTTATTGCTGTGTAAGTATCTGGCAATAATCCAGCAAAAATCCTTTTCACAGAAATGTTCCCAGATAGCAAATTTTGGGGTTCAGAATTTGAACATGAAAACCAGCAACCTGAACCATGTCTTCCTGGATTTACATCAAAGCAAAAGCACCCTCACTTGTCCAGAAATACTAGGTCAATTTTTAATGTTTCAAATAGTGCACCGTTCAGTTCACATAACTCAAAAAAGATGTCTAACAGTTTTCATACATGGAAGAAGAGTACAGAGATACACAAAAAGTGATTCTAAGAAAAATTATTTCCTGGTTCGTTTAACTTAAAATTTTAATCAAACTTCCAACATCTGAAACAAAAAATAGGATAAACACAAAGAAAGGTGGTAATTGAAATTGAATGACATGAATTGTAAAGATGCTTAAAGATGAAAAAGAATTGTCAGGATGGACCAGTTGATTCTTTATTTTTGTAGCAGGAAAATTCTCAGACGAAAAAACGGGTGTCCAATCCAACAAACACGCCATAAAGTGGGCTTAGAATAGTGCTGCAGCCGAACCGCCAAACCGAACAAAAAATTATCGAACATAACACTTTTGAATCTAACCGAACTGGTCAGTTCGGATGTTCGGCTTTAATATGGCATTGCATTGCTGGCGCACAGAATGCAAACAGGAAAATTTGATAAAAAAGGCAAACACAACGAAAAAAGGATAACGAGTATGCCGCACTGACACTAGTGCTTAGCACATGTGCGTGCACATGCACACACGTACTGTAAATGTACATGTACAGTAAACTTACGGTGGCCAATTATCAACCAACAACATGCAACATACGGCAATTCCGCTGCACAACAATTCTAAATTTTCACTACATCCAATTGTGCTTATGTGTATTCAGATTTATCATTATGTTTGCCATCTGAAAGCCTCGCCCTTACGTTCCATGTGAGGCCAATGATGTCATAAATGGCTATTTTTTGATTGGATGCTGATCACAGTGGGACCCGTGCTCGATCGAAGGCAACTCCGGAGGAAAAACTGATTTTGCCAGGCGAGCTGCTAGTTCAAGTGCAGTGATCCAGGGCACAACAAGATTTGGTTCGAGCATTGGCCTAATTTGCCTTTCGTTTGATCACGTTTGATCTAAGTCGTAGTGTGAATACGTTGTAATGGATTTTGCCAGATCTGTAAGTTGTTTGCAAATCTAAAATAACAAAATGCCATTATCCGTTCAAAAAAGACTGATGGAAAATCACCCCTTTGGCCTCATGGGCGCTGTCCTGGGAAAGAATGCCGAAGGTTCTTCGAATACATCAAAAGCCATATTTTGGTAGTTGAATCTGTTTTGTGAAAAATCATGAAAACATGATTCGCTGGAAATCTTATTTGATCTTGTATCCTTTACAGGAGGAAACTCCCATTTGAGCATGCTGGTTTTTCTATTTTCACAAATCCTACTATCGTTTTGTTGAGTCAAGAGTTGTCCAAACACTTTTGGTCTGGACAACATGGTCGGGAATTGCCACACCTCTGACGGTAACTTTCTATGGAATTTTAACTCCTAAACAAACTTTGAGGAAACAGTTTGGAAAAAAATTATGTTCACATCGAAATTGCTCACAGATGGGGATAGTGACAAGATTTATATTTTGTATTAACATATTTTATACACGGAAGTACTATATACGGCACGTTCGTTGCGAGCTCTTCAGTGCATTGTACATGTATGTACACGTGTGTAAATGTCCGAACCAAACTTCTGCACAAAATTTCCAAACCGTGTCCGAACTGAACCTGAGCTAAAACCTTGGCACCTACATGTACTTGCAGCACTAGCTTAGAGTGCCACACACTTCATCATTGTGTCTTGGTACATGAGCCATGATCAGCTTCAGCTGACACGTATGCAGTAAACTTCGGCTAAGTCAACATCGTATAACTCAGCAAATCACTCAAATTGGCAGACTTACGAAAGTCCCGATCGTTTCTGATGCATTTCCATTACAATTTTTATTTCTAAATCGACTTTTATTAGTCGTCATTTCACCTAAGTTGGAGTGTTACTCTCAGTCTCATTTCCAAAAATTGTGCAGTGAAATCTTTTGTGTAAGTTAGCATTTAAAAACTCCTGCATTGGCATCAACTTCTGCACTGAGGTTGGCAAGAGGTGTCAGTGAAAAGTCACACAACAACATCCGTTTATTGGCACAGTCTGTGATCACTGCATCAATTTTTATGTAGCATTTCAGTTAGCACATGTCCCAGCGCGGCATTGCATGCACTGCTATCATGGACAGATCCTAGACCTTTCTCTGCCAGCACGTGTACATTTAGAGGATATCACATGTACATGCCATGTAAAATTGTATGGATTTTTCCTACCAAAAATATGTGTATGTAATATGAGGGTATGTGGAGTCGAAATTGATAATTTTCTACTTTCCTATGGTGGCCCAAGCATGAGACAAATTGCGTTGTGGGCGCAGGGTGTTGGACTCGATAAAGTATGTATGGCACACGGGTTCCTACCGCCAAATATAGCAAGAATGGCATGGAATGGTTAGGAGCCAGTGACCCCAGGGACAACTCAAAGTACATTCCAAACCTTAACACTCCAAAAACATGAAGCCATCAAAACTTCTGATATACTTCAGCGAATAAGTTAGTTCACAGAACTACAGGTAGATTGATCTACAGGTAGATTCCCTTTTATGCACAGGTATAGATTCCCTTTTATGCACAGGTATAGATTCCCCTTTATGCACAGGTATAGATTCCCCTTTATGCACAGGTATAGATTCCCCTTTA